TTGGTACCGGGGATTGAACACAGGGGGACTTGACTACGGAGCCACATCCCTAGCCCTATTTTGTATTTTATTTAGAGACAGGATCTCACTGACTTGCTTAGCTCCTCGCTTTTGCTGAGGCTGGCTTTGAACTCACGATCCTGCTGCTCAGCCTCCTGAGCCACTGGGATTACAGGTGTATACCACTGCACTTGACCATGCTATGAGTTTTGATAAACAAAGATAGGATATTTTTTTAAATCAAAAAAGGGATCATATTGTAGATTTTAACTCAAAATGCTTCCCATGCTTAATGTATCTCAAATATCTTTCCATGTGAGACCTGGAACCAGCTCATACTAACTGTTATGCAATATTGAGTTGTGTGAATCTGTTCCCAACTCTGCATGCAGTGATGTTCGGTGATATCAAGTTGGTATCTTGAAATCTGCTCTAGTGGGATTAGTTACATCATCACAATAGGCAAATGCTGGAAATTGGGAATCTCCCTGCCACCCTCCAAAAAATCTGGTTGTTAAAACATTTACTGCCACTATACTACTGCAGGTAGTTCTCAGCCTTTGAAGAGGGTAACAGTTCATCACATTAATGTGTCATAATTGATTTATTCATTCCATAGGGTATTTCTTAAATTCATGCTCACCTTGGGATAACACAGAAAGAAATTGAATTCATTATGAACCAGAGAAAATAAGTAGCAGAGGAAGGAGTTTAAATACATAGTCAATGAGGCATTAATGATAGCAGAATTTCAATTATAACATCAGTGAGAGTTGATATAGAGAAATGAATATACATTGGGATATTTCAATGTGCTGCAATGGAGGGAAAAAACACTTTATCTAAAAAGAATTCATTCCATATAGATAGCTGCCCCAGAATATGGAGCTGTGAAATTATAGTCCTACATTTTCAATTTACTTGCCAATTTTAGCTTTAAGAAACCTCTGTGACTCAAATAAGCAAGCTGCGGGAACCAATGTGGAAATGCAGGATATCTGAGATGAACAGAGAAAATTTACTCTGAAATGGAACAGGCTGTCTCCACCTAAAACAGTCAGAGTGTGACTCAGCAGAGAGAGAAAACACAGGTCATATGGAAGATCCAGAAATGGAAAACAGTAGGGCAGCTCTTGTTCATTGCACTGCCTACATTATAAGCCATTATGGACTCTAGGCAAATCCCGACCTCACTTATCAAACTGATGTCACATTGTTCTGGGTTTAGGTTGTATGGAAAGATCATTTGTACCTTAAATATTATTAGGAAATGACTGAGAAATTTTTAACTCTAACCCATACTTGTATTTTTAGCAAGTCTTTGACAGACATACATGTAAGGCTGGCCAGTCAACTGATGTGCAACAAGAATTGCCTGGCTGCTGCTACCACCTCCACTACTACTACAAGATTGTCACACTCTATAGCCTACTGTCTCAAGTAAATGACACAGACTTAGAAACCAGTGGCACAGAGTTGAGTAGTGAAGCTTAGCTGCCATGAAGTTGAGCATATTCTGTCCATTCTATACCTAATTAGGCCTGTTGCTGGGCTAAAAACTTCTGTAGATCACTGACTTCTTGTCTCCTTTTCCAGAAGCTTCTACTGTTATATCAGGTTGTTCTTGATTTATGACACCTGGCCACCTTAGGAATTCAGCTTGAAATTCTGCTTTTAGAAGTTCTCCCTTCTCAGAATTGAGGTTATAGCTCAGTAGTAGAGTGCTTGCCTAATGTGTGCAAGGCCCTGGGTTTAATCCCCAGCACTGTCCCCACCCCCAAAAAGAAAGTTATCCATTCTTAAATCTCTACCTAAGTTTAAGAATTTTACTCCAAGGAGTTTGCTAATCTTGCTTAAGCTTTAATCAATTGTTAAATATATCTTAAATATGTGATTAAATTTTTAATTATTATTATCAATTATATGCTTATAATGTCAACATTAGAAAATAAAGAAAAGAGAATAAAATAGTCACCATCTATAATTATACCTTTAAATATGGGCTTTATTTAAAATGCATATAAAATTATATATGAGCCAGGAGTGGTGGTGCACACCTATAATCCCAGCAACTTGGGAGGCTGAGGCTGGGAAGATCACAAGTTTGAGGCCATCCTCAGCAAATTAGTGAGGCCCTAAGAAACTTAGTGAGATCCTGACTCAAAATAAAAAAAATAAAAGAGGCTCAGTAGTTAAGTACCCCTGGATTCCATCCCAGTACGAAAAATAGTATATATGATCTTCAAGACTGTCTTATGAATGAAAAATAATAAAATCATAATTAAGTGTATTAAACAGAAATACTTATTCAAAATATTATATCCATGGAATGTATTTGCTAACATGGAATCATTAAATCCTGTTCTCTTTCATGTTATTTCACGTATAGTTAAATATTTCTGGGCTGGGGTTGTGGCTCTGTGGTAGAGTGCTCGCTTAGCATGCGTGAGGCACCACATAAAAATGAAATAATAATTGTTTCCACCTACAACTAACAAAATAAATATTTTTAAAATATATTTCTAAACCACTCTCATGGGTATTTCGCAAATCAGTGTTAAGTTCAGCACATTTTCTGCCTTTTACAAATAGAGACTGGCCTGATGGTGCTAATTACTGAGAGAGAGGGGAAGCAGCTGCACTTCTGTCCATTTGCAGATCTCAGACAAATGGATTGGGTCATTGCTCACCTGTTAGATGGTAACATGAAGCAGCAGTCTGACTCTTTTCTTCTCTACTCTAGACAGCGTTGGCTGTGGCCCGAGCCTCTGCTTTCTGCTTGAATTTTAACAGCATGCTGATCCTGATTCCTGTGTGTCGCAATTTGCTGTCCTTCTTGAGAGGATCCGTGAGTCCTAGCTACAACTAGGTCAACTTTCACATTAAAGAAAGAGACCCTGGGGCTGGGGATGTGGCTCAAGTGGTAGCGTGCTTGCCTGGCATGCGTGCGGCCCAGGTTTGATCCTCAGCACCACATACAAACAAAGATGTTGTGTCCGCCAAAAACTAAAAAATAAATATTAAAATTCTCTCTCTCTCTCTCTCTTAAAAAAAAAAAAGAGACCCTGATATCTTTGATGTTAGTCCAATACTAAGTCCCTAGGAATGGGAGCTAGTGGTCTCTTTTGGTAACTAAGGGTGTAGGTAAGGATGGGTGGGTATTGATTGGCATGCTATATCTAAGACAAGTTGGCTATAGGTTAGTGAATTTCATAAGGCAGGATGGTGACACCTGACCATGATCACTTTATATTTGTAGTTTTGCAGTCGCACACTGAGAAAGTCATTGGATCACAACCTCACCTTCCATAAGCTGGTGGCATATATGATCTGCATATTCACAGGTAACTCAGTAAAACCATGAAACTGAAAATTCAAGGGTATTCAGAGTCTAGTTTCATTTACCCATGAATATAAACATTCAAAAAATATTGAGCACCTGGGACTATTTTTCATGCAGTGTTGTAGGCCTATATCCCTGGAGCTTATATTCTATTCCTTTGGGAAGTGATTAGATATAAGATCTTTGATCTCCCTGCATTACAGGGCACCTTCTATGGACTCAAAATTCTACTAGCATTGTATGTAGGATTCTCCTATTTTAGTGAGTTGTGCCTGCCATAATGTTCCTGAGACATTTCTTTCTTTTTAGCTATCCACATCATTGCACACCTGTTTAACTTTGAACGCTACAGTAGAAGCCATCATGTCACAACTATAACCCTTGCCTCTGTTCTCTCCAGCCTACATCATGACAAAGAGGGGGGTTTTTGGCTAAATCCCATAGCGTCGCCAGACATGGTGAGTTGACTCAATGGCAAAGCCTCTGGGATCTGGTCATGAGCAGGAAGACCAAAATATCCTTGTTGGACATCATGTCAGGCTGACATTTCTCTGTTCACAGACAGTCTTGTATGTGACATTCACCACTATTGCTGGTCTCTCTGGAGTGATCATCACCATAGCCTTGATTCTCATGGTAACTTCATCTATGGAGTTTATTCGGAGGCATTATTTTGAGCTCTTCTGGTATACACACCACCTATTTATCATCTATATGGTCTGTTTATGGATTCATGGCTTGGGGTAAGGTCTTCAAACCCTCATTCTCAGGTTCCAGCTCTCAACCTTGCATAATTCTTTACCTTAAACTATCTTTCTTTGTTTCAGTGGAATTGTCCGGAGTCAAACAGAGAAGAGCATGAATGAGAGTCATCCCCATAAGTGTGCACAGTCTTTTGAAAAGTGGGATGATCATGACCCTGACTGCAAGGAGCCACAATTTGAGGGACATCCCCCTGAGGTAAGAACTCTTATGGACAAGGACAGCCTCTTGTTATGTGCTGTTACTATTATCATTGTTAATATTACTCTTATTATTGTTACTATCAACATTATTAGCTCAGCCATGTGCTGGGTCCTATAAAGGATACCTACAAGATTTCTATCTTCAAGGAACTTCCAGCATCACTGGTAAAATGACAATTAATAGGGAATATTGAAAAAGAAGGTCTAAAAGTCATTGCATATTGTATGACCCCCTGAAAAGGTAATAATGTTGGTCCACATTATTGATATTTTTTACCATGTCTCAGCCTTGCAGCATAATATTGATTAATCTCATTTATATATAGCAATAACCTCTTGGGTAAGTACTTCTTTTGTCTCCATTTGAGGACAAAAGGACTAGGATTCCAAAAGATTAAATTCAAGCCCAGGCTTTACAGAGTCTTGACAGTTGTACCATCCAAAAACTCAGCTATGAAATCCCAATCAAATTTTCTTGTGAAAAAAAAGCATTATTGAAGTAGGTTTTCTTTGGTGTTATGCTTGGGAACTGCTAGACAGTGGATGATTAAGAAACTGAGTTCTTGACTGGGGATATAGCTTGGTGGAAGAGTGTTTGCCTAACATGTGCAAGGCCCTGAGTTTGATCCCTAGCCCATCAAAGGAAGGAAGGAAGGAAAGAAGGAAGGAAGGAAGGAAGGAAGGAAGGAAGGAAGGAAGGAAGGAAGGAAGGAAGGAAGGAAGGAAAGAAAAAGGAAGGTAGTAAATATTGGGGCCATAAGTGTGCCATGTACTCTGTGCATACCTTAATTAATTCTTTATCTCCATTTCCTAGAAGTGAAATTCCTAGGTTAAAGAGAAGGAATGCTTCTGAAACTGTTGAGATGTACTGCCAGATTGCTTTCTGGGAAGATGCTGCTAATTTGTACCTCCATTAGCTATATGTGGGAGTATGCCCATTTCCCTGAATCCTAGTTAATTCTGGGAATTATTGCTCAAAGTTTGAGAGACTAAAATGCTATCTTGTTAATATTAATTTCTCTATTTCTTTTTTTAAGAGAGAGAGAATTTTTCAATATTTATTTTTTAGTTTTCAGTGGATACAACATCTTTATTTTATTTTTATGTGGTGCTGAGGATCGAACCCAGCACCCCGCGCATGCTAGGTGAGCGTGCTACTGCTTGAGCCACATCCCCAGCCCATCATTTCTCTATTTCTGAGGCCAATACTTTTATCACATTGTTATTACCCATTCCTTATGTATGTTTTTTTCATGTATTCTGAATACAGCTGGGGATTTTTCTTAAATAACAAATAACACTAAATTGTATAATGTCTACTCTAACACTAGCCAGATCTCTGTTACTTCCTTCCCCAGAGATATCCAAGGAAGTTATTGACCTGCAACAGCATAAGAAACCTCATTCTACATAGCTCCAATATATCATACTTGACCAATTGTGCAAGAAGGGACATGACTTAGTATCACTAGGAAATATATTTTTAGTAGATCCTGTGCATATTGAAGTTATCTGCTATCTTGAGAAGATCTTGGGGGATAGAAAGTCTGCTTTAAAAAATATATATGTAGACAAGATAAAAACAAACTACTAAAAGATGACATGAAAGTAGAAGGGGGATATTAGGGAAGGGAAAGAGGAAGGGTGGGCATGGGTAAGGCAGGATGATAGGGAAGGTGGATACAAATTACATAATATGTATTATAAAATGTCACAAAGAAAAATATTATTTTAAACAAGTAATATGTGCTAATAATTATAATTTAATTATTAAATTTATAATTTATAATTTAAATAATTTTAAAAATCATGATTATGCTAAATGTTTTGAACACTTGAGAAAAGAGTGGATTAATATCAAGCTTTATATATTGTTATCCAAAACATCAACCAATATTTTCCCTTTTTTGTTTGTTTTGTTTTAAATCATTTGCTTCTATTTCACATTTACCATTTCTATTGGTTTTTCAGATTGGATAAGTTGTCCTGGAAGATAGTTTTAGATTTTTGAAATCAAATTTTATATTATTTAAGAATATAAATATATATACTGTTGCTTTTGCTTCCTATCAGAAATGCAAATTTTCAAAGAATGGACTAATTTATGAGTAAGATATTAGCAAACAAAACTATTGCAGTATATTCATTTCTACTTCCGTCTTCAGGATTTGGTAAAATTAGTGGCTTAGTAATGATACATATCAATAGCTTGACAAATATTTACTGAATGAAGCAATGAACTGCTACATAAAGAAAGTTCTAAATGAGAGATTAAAAGGGAATCTCATTCTTTAATCTCCCTGTGCAGTCTTGGAAGTGGACCCTTGCACCATTTGCTCTATATATCTTTGAAAGGTTTCTTCTCCGGTTTTATCGCTCCCAGCAGAAGGTTGTGATCACCAAGGTAAATAAATAAATAAATAAATATGCACATTCATCTTGCTGTGATAAATGTGGTATTTTGAGCATAGAACTAAATGGTCATGTCACACTGAATGGAATAAAAAAGAACACGTGAAGGCAATATGTGTTTTTCTAGTGCTGCACAGAACTATGGGAAAGAGGGGAAGATGAATTTGACAGAAACCACCAGGATGGGTCTATGTCAGAGGATGCAAACAGGTGGCCTGGGAAGATCTAGCCAGTGGAGATGTGTGTGTGTGTGTGTGTGTGTGTGTGTGTGTGTGTGTGTGTGTATCTACTTCTGGGGATTGAAGCCAGGACCTTGAACATGCTAGGCAAGCATTTCACCACTGAGCTACACTCCCTCTCCCATTCAGATATATATTGTTTGGCCTAAAAATGTTTGTTTAAAAATTAACTTGGAGCTGGAGGTGTAGCTCAGAGGTGCACCTCCCTAGCATGTGCACGGCCCTGGGTTTGATCCCTAGCATTGTGAAAAAAGAAACATTGAACTGGTTGCTGTTATTTAAAACTCTGGATGGAGGCTTTAACATTTTAAAAAAGAGGCATTTTTTTTTTACTTGTGGAATCAGAAAACCCAGTAACACTGAGTCACAGTTCCATGGTGCAAGCATTCTCTGGAGCTAAGTAGCTGCTGTTGCCCCCTTTAGAAAAGACTTGGTCTCAGTTTATCATTGTCATCAGCTTTGCTCATCTACTTTAAATGCCTGCCTTTGTCACCATTTGAGTTTGTCTTCTTTGGTCTATGTGCTTCCTTCACAGGTTGTTATGCACCCATCCAAAGTTTTGGAATTGCAGATGAAGAAGCGTGGCTTTAGCATGGAAGTGGGACAGTACATCTTTGTTAATTGCCCCTCAATCTCCTTCCTGGAGTGGCATCCCTTTACTCTGACCTCTGCTCCAGAAGAAGATTTCTTCTCCATTCATATCCGAGCAGCAGGGGATTGGACAGAAAATCTCATAAGGGTGTTTGAACAACAGAATTCACTAATTCCCAGGTAGGTCTCTGAAATCAGCAGAGACTCAGACTAGGATATAGACTGGCAGAAGAGAGGAAACAATTCCTTACTGAAGCTCTGCTCTGGTAAGATGAATTGTGATTGAAACAAACAGGCAGAAGTCAGCTGTGGGAGCTGTTGTTGTGGGAGGATGTTTGAGGTTGGGAGAGGAGGTGAAACTTCACTTGAATGTTGTCTTCTCCCTTCTGCTAGGATTGAGGTGGATGGTCCCTTTGGCACAGCCAGTGAGGATGTTTTTCAGTATGAAGTGGCTGTGCTGGTTGGGGCAGGAATTGGGGTCACTCCCTTTGCTTCCATCTTGAAATCCATCTGGTTCAAATTGCAGCATTCGGACCACAAACTCAAAACACAAAAGGTACCCTCCAGCATATCACTTTTTATATAGCCTGTGCCTGACAGTTCTAGTGCCCTCATAGGCTAAGGTCTTCACAGATGATAAGGGAATAAACTTTCTTTAGAGAGTTTATAAATAGAGTGAGCAATCACTTCTCTCTGCCAAGGCATCTACTTCCAGTTTCAATAGAAAAGCATGGTCTTCTTTTCAATCTGGCGTTTAAAATCATCTCAAATGAAAGATGACCTTGGAGGGCTATTTCCATTAGGGAAATTGTCAGGAGTTTTGACATTCATGATGCCTAAGGTGTTCCACTTTGTATACATGATTTACCAGATCACCATTTGACTCAATCAACAAACATAGTGGGTGCATGTGTATAATCCCATCACACAGAATACATTGTAAAGGGCACTTAATAATGCTGTGGTCTCTTTTGCTGATTCCAGATTTATTTCTACTGGATCTGCAGGGAAACGGGTGCTTTTGCCTGGTTCAAGGACCTACTGACTTCCCTGGAACAGGAGATGGAAGAATCAGGCAAAGTGGGTTTTTTAAACTACCGTCTTTTCCTCACTGGATGGAACAGCAACATTGTGAGTTCAAACAATACACTAATTCCCATGTTAAGTGCAGATGAATGTCAGACAAAAGATAGATTAGAAACACTGCTGATTAGAAATAATTATTTCCTACCTGCCTTCACCCTTACACTCAAGCTTAAAAGTGACTGAAGGCAGTTATGAGGATTTTTTTTAACTTCTTATTTCTGACTTCAGGCTGGTCATGTGGCATTAAACTTTGACAAGGCTACTGACATCCTGACAGGATTGAAACAGAAAACCTTCTTTGGAAGACCAATGTGGGACAATGAGTTTTCTACAATAGCTACCACCCACCCCAAGTAGGTATATTTTCCTCTAGTTAACTGAGTTTGTGGAGTTAGAATTTAGGAAAGGTACTATAGTATGTTGAACACTCTTAGGAAAAGATTTCTGGGGTAGAAACTATTTGAACTATCCTAGACTCTTGTTTAAAACTGAGGAAATTTTATCTGGGGTTTTAGCAAAATAAGAGTCATGATCTTGTAATTGATGAGAAGATGCTGCTGCCCCAGCAAGCCTCCATTCAAACAGTGAGGCAAAGAGGCTCAGTTCTGAGCTATACTACCAAATAAAACAGAAAACTGGAGCAATTTAAATGCGTGGGGGTTTTTTTGGGTGGTGTTTCTACAGAAACAAGGGTTTGGAATGTATTATCTAGTTCAACTGATTTCAGTCTTTTTGGAGGGTTTTGAATCATGTTAGAGCATACAGGAAAACCTAGTGCTATGAAACCAGCCATTCCAATGGGAAGGAGAAGAAGTTGGTCATGGTAGGGAAACTCCCTGAACAAGTTGGCAGGTGAGATCAATTCAACTGCACAAACATTATCGGTTACTTTCTATAAACTCAACATTCACTATTACAGGAACTTTGGAAGTTGAAAGAGAAATAGGGTACAATTCTTGCTCTCAAGGAGCACACATTTGAATAAGAGATGCATACAATCAATTCAAAGTAGAATGATGTATTCCTTGAAACAAGTGCATGGACACCTATGGTTTAAAAACACGAAGTGCTTGGGAAAGACTTTGTGAAGGGAGTGGCAAGAGCCCTTAGTTATTTGGATTTGGATGATCCTGGGTCCTAATGTTGGTTTTGATACTTTCCAGCTCTGGGACCCGGAGGTTGAAAACCCTCTGATCTTCAGATTCCTTATCTGTAATATGGGGGTTATATTAATAAATACCTACTGTACTCACTTGCAGGATTGTTGTGAAGATTAAATGAGACAATATATGAAAATTGCTCTGTAAATTGTAAAACAGCAGCATACAAGCAAATGAGATTATGCTAATTATCATGTTGTTTGAGTTGAACAGTTAAAGCTGTGAGAATGAATAAGATTATAGCACTTGGGAAAAACTCTTTGGCAAATCCTCAGTGTTAACAGTTTCAATATGACCCAGTAATTCCATTCCTCGGTATATATATCCAAGAGAAATGAAAATGTATGCACACACAAAAACCTATGCATGAGTATACATAGCAACATTATTCACAATAACCTAAAAGTGGAAACTACCTGTGTCCATTAACAGATGTACATCCACATAATGGAAATATAATTTAGCTATAAAAACGAAAGACATATTGATACAAGCTACCACATGGATGAAGCTTGAAAACCTTATACTGAATGAAAGAAGACACAAAAAGCCACTTATTGTATGATTCTACTTATAGGAAATGTTTAAAATAGGCAGATCTAAATAGAGACTGTAGATTAGGGCAGAGAGGTTGTGGTTGGGAAGAAATGGAGAGTGACTAGCTAATGTGGATGGGGTTTCCTTTGGGGATAATGAAAATGTTTTGGAATTAATTGGTGATGGTTTCACAACTTTGTGGCTATACTAAAAAGCACTAAATGCACACTTCAAAAGGGTGAATTTTATGGTATATGAATTGCACCATAATTAGATTTAAAAAGAGAGAAGGCAGGTGAGACCCAGAGCACAATTGGAAAAGTTAGCTTTGGCAAGAACATCTCCTCTTTAGTGTGAGAAATTTTGAGGTGGGGATAAGTTCACAGTGGATGGCTTTAATGTCAGCTAACATATATGCATTTGCTGTGTGCTAGGCATTTTTTTAATTTTATGTTTTCATTTAATTCTCAAAACAAACCTATAGGTATTATTTTTATTCCCATTTTACCGAAGGGAAGCTAAAACACAGAGAGATGTTAAGCAACTTGCCTTAAGTTATGCAGGTGGGTTAAATGTCAGAGGTGGGATTTGAACTCAGGTAGATTGGCTCCAGAGTCTTACTGATGTGTTGTATATTTCTTGGGTATTGTGTTCTCAATAAAAAATGGCTCAGTGCTGAGAGTGATCTGGATTGAGCACAAGAGGGACTTGCAAATCGAAAAGGTTAAAAACACTTACCATGAAGAATGTAGGAGTCAATGATGGAATTTTTGTTCAGTGTTGATGGGAGTAGTAGAGGGCCATTTCTCCTTTTATATCAACAGCCTTTGTTCTATTCATATAGGTCTGTGGTGGGGGTTTTTCTATGTGGTCCTCTGACTTTGGCAAAGAGCCTGCGCAAATGTTGTCACCAATACTCCAGTCTGGATCCTCGGAAGGTTCAATTCTACTTCAACCAAGAAAATTTCTGAACTATAGGAGTAAACACAGTAGTTTGCATTTTGTCCCTCTTTTGGATTTTCAGCAACTTACTTCATCTGGTCAGGTTTGTTCAGCCACTTCATAATACTGTACCTCTCAAGCCTTGACTTGACTCGCTGTCATTAAAAGAAATGCATTTAACTTTGTTAATACTTGAGCTTCACCAATCTAAGAACTTGAGAAGTCAATAATTGCAAAGCACATGGATCCTTTCTTGGGAAATTGTCAATCCTAGAAAGCCAAGACCATGGCAAAGCTTGATGGCAGAGCTTTGGTGGTTGTCAGTTACACTATTTAATTCCAGGTGACTTTGATTCCAAGTGTTTCCATCTCCTGGACTTTAGTTCATAATCCCCCCTCCCTCCTGCCCTTACAGAAGATTTCTAAGTAGGGTGACTTTTTAAATAAAAATTTATTGAATGAATGACAAAACATAATAACCATAAATAACAATGAACATAAAATTACCAAGAACCCCATCCCCATATAATGCCGACTAGGTACATTGTTACTTTAAGTATGATCTTATCCAGTGTGAACAACAACTTACATTTTTATTTTTGCTGGTCAAAAATGAAGGATTATCTTTTTTGCTTAATGAATGTGTCTGTTACTTTTTCTGGGCTTTCCATTTGGGAAAGAAAATTTTGAAAATGTGAATCATCATTGAAACATAATAGTTGAATTATAATTATATAATTATAATTCATTTAGCTATATTATTATTTTGTATTGTTGTATTTAAGAAATAATTGGGAAAACTTGATCACCATCATGGGATGACTTAGTCAGCAGAAGCTCTTTATCCCCATTTTTATTAAGGGATGTTTATTAACATCTAATGTAAAAATAAAGAATTTATAATTTTGATAAAAATTTTTTGGCTCCTACTTTTCACTAAAGAATCATTCACCTAATGACACAAGCAAAATGCCTTTCTTTCTCCTACCAAAATGTTACTTCTCCCATCTACCCAATTTAGTGTACAATGACCACAACTGGCTATGGGATGTTAGTTGTCACAGTGAATAACCAGGAGGAAAGAAGCCCCAGGCTCTCAAAGAGGGGAAAAATACACACTTCATTGTGCTCAAAGACAATTCAACTCATTATAGATTTATAAGGATGTTTCTACTAAATTAGCACTACAGCACCTATTTTTCTACCATTAACTGATCAAGAATGAACAAAAGGTTGTTTCTAACTACCAGGAACCTCCATGGCTTGAATTAATGATTGTTTTTTTTTTTCAGTCACTAGTCTGAACATAATAGGTCATAACTCTTGGTAGCTAAATTGTTATTCATCAGTAAAATATACCAATGAATGTTTCTGTAGGGCTAAATTGAAATGCCACTACTGTTGCCAATTTGTTCATCTGAATTTCAGCTGACTAAGATTAATAAGGATTTGGGAACATGAATAATGGAACGTGAAGATATGCTTCCTGATAACTGCTTACTAAATAATTTCATCTTCAATGACCTTGATTTGAAATCTGAGTTCTTTGAAACCTGAGTTCTTAACAAGAAATGTTTCACTTTTGGTCTCAATGTCTAAATATAATGACACTTCAAGAGATGACAGCTGCCAAAACCAACACATCAAGGACTAAATATTCACGGAAATAGGCAGAAAAGTTAATGAAAACAATAAACTCTATGCACAACTAACATTCAAGCTGAATTTGGGATGAGCAGGATACCCAGAAATCTCCTCGGCTGTATTGTGAGGTTGAAATATGAAATATCCAGCAAATTTTCATTGTGTTTATATATCAGAGTAGAAAATCCCTCAATTTTAATGTCTCTCATGAAGTTGATTATCTTTGCACTCTTTTGCTTGACCTGTAAGCAATATGCTATTACATTCTTTAAGCCTATGCCAGACTTTTAATTCACCTGACCATAATCCTAACCCAGAGGATAGGATTCTGAGAATATAAATAGGGTCAAAAGTAGTTCCAGTAGAACTTTACTAATTATTAAGGCAACACTTAACCTCTCAAGGTTGGCCTGATGGAGAGAAACCATGTCCCCTCCTCATTGCCATTATAAGAGAGAGAATACCAGGCAAGGAGAGACCCATAAGTTAGAGCTAGTGGCACTAATTATGTTCATACTTATCTGCAAGGAAGCAAGCAAGGGCAGACCTAAAGGGCAATCTGACTGCTTGTGTTATACATTTGGTCCTCTTAAAATCATTGAGAAGAATGTAAAAGTTTTAGGGGTTTCTATGTTTTAAGTTCCCAGAATAATTTGGTTATAGGGTAGGACTGAAGGTCAGTGATTTCCTGGAAAATAGGATGAAATGTATTTTGTTCATTTGTTTTCTGTTCAGTTTTTAATTTATCCTGAACATGTGAAAATCTATTGACTTTTTAAACTTTTAAAGTTGACTACCTAGACTGAAGAGTTTTAGAACACACAAGTAAATGTCAACAATCCCTTGTGTTGCTGACACACACACTCCAGCTAGTGTCAACACAATCTTTGTCGTAACTCCAAACTATGCATGTTCAGAACTGCTACTGACAAAAAAATTGCATTTTTATATTTGCATTCTTCTAAACTAAATATACAGTTGTTGTAGGACCTTTGCTTTGTTGGCCTCCTGATCATTTTATAGCTCCATGCACATGCTATTCTCTCCGAGGAATTTCAGAAGTTCTAGAAAGTTTTCAAAGGGCAAAGCCTTATTCTTGCTGGAAGCAAATGAAACAAAAACTAAGTTCCAGAAAACAATGCTTCTGAGAAATCCTCAAATATCATAAAGAAGAATAAATGGTTATTAATCTAAAGTAAAAAACAGTTATGACAATATAACATAAAGTACAATGCTGCAGTAAGGGTAGAAAACATATCTAAGGTTTCACCCTTGGTGATCAGCTTTTTAAAAGCAAAAAGGTCATGTATATCAACTTGCAGTGTACTAAAATTGTGTTCAAAGTTTATTTCAAGTCACAGAAAATATACAAACTAAGACAAAATGAACTGATTTTGTTCTGAGAGAAGGTGATGGGAGTCCTCCACCTGGCACCAAATTGAGTCATTCAAGGGTTAGGATGCAGAAGTCACCTTTTTTCAACATTTCAACAAAATCATGGAATTAATTTCCACATTTGTTGCCAGGTATTTTTAAAAACCTGTAAGAAAAAATCAGGAGAAAGCCATTAGAAGTGGAGACAAAGTTCTCTTCCCCAAACATTAGGAAAAAAACAAAAAGGCTAGGGGGAAGGACAATATGCATGAGATCAAATTCCCAGGGAAGAATTTCTGGGTGTTTGTTTCCTGCTTCCAACTTCCCAAAGCAATCATCCTTTTTACCAGGGTCTCTTAACCTCAGCACTATATTGACATTTTGTGCCAGAGTACTCTCTGATATTAGCAGGTGAGGAAAATATCCTATGCATTATGGAATGGTCAGGAGCATCTCTGGTCTCTACCCACACTGAATGCCAGTGGCATACAATACTCCCTAAAATTTGACAACCAAAATGTCTAAAGACATTGCCAGAATGCCCATTCAGGGGCAAAACTGTCCCTGATTGAGAATTGCTTATCTCTAACAATAATAATAAAGAAGCCTATTAGTGACAGCACAGAGAGATCACCAAAGCTAGGTATAGGATGAAAGGATAGCTAATGCTCTGGCCACATTTTGCACAGATATCAAAACCTTGCCAACGTAAAATTGCACAGCTGCAGTTATACACACATGGGCACAAATTACTGTGGTTTTAAAAAAACATGGCAAACACTGCATAAGGTTTGTAGTCTAGTTCACAGTAATGTACCAATATCAATTTCTTGGTTTTGATTAAAAGCAAAAAGGTAGGATGTTACCATTGGGGGAAGCTGGTACAAGGCTCTTGGCATTCTTTTTCTAACTTCTGTGAATCTATGATTATTTCAAAAGTTAAAAAACAGACAAAAATTGCCCTGTCTTTAATGTGCAAGGCTTTAAATTAGATATCTAATCAGCAAGAATACATAAAGAAAGAACTTCCAGAAATATTTTTACCTTGACTAGCCAAAAATGACAATTTTCTCACATTGCAGATAATACCTTCTTTGCCATAAGTAAATTATAAAAGTAAATTCCTCTGAATATAATAGAGTCTGTTTTCACTGAAGAAAATAGAATGTCTGCAGTATATGGAAAAAAAGTTACAGTGCTGGTCATACCAAAAATTTAGACAGCTATATATGATAGCCTCCTATTACAGTTCATTTAGATGTTATAAAGATATTACAAATGTGGATTAAAATAGATTTATTATAAATGGGTTCACTACTGTATGATAATATATGGATAGAAATTACAATACAAATGGGGTAAAAGTAGAAATTCTAAAGGAGACATCCCAGCAGATACTGATACAATGAGATCTTTAAATTATTTTGGAAATAGAATCATTTATATAAGATACAAAGATATAGGGGAAAATTAAAAAAAAAAAAACCAAAAAACCAATACTTGTATATCAGGTTAGGTCACATGATCATTTATGAGGCAGTTTACCTGAACCTTCTTTACCTAATTGAGGAGCAAGAAAAATAAGGGTGATAGTGTACAGCAATGTCCAAAATGTATAGAACTGATGGTGCTAGTGGACATTTATTACCTTAAATGTACAGTAATATTTTAATACCAAAATACTCATTAGAAACCAAATGCTAGAAACTAAAATAGTTCAACATTTTTTTGAGGGTGTGTGGGGGGGTGTACCAGGGATGGAACTCAGCGGCACTCAACCACTGAGCCACATCCCCAGTCCTATTTTTTTGTATTTTATTTTAGAGACAGGGTCTGAGTTGTTTAGTGCCTCACTTTTTACTAAGGCTGGCTTTGAACTTGTGATCCTCCTGTCTCAGCCTCCCAAGCTGCTGGGATTACAGGCATGTGCCACTGTCCTGGCTAGTTCTACATTTTATTTAACTGTTTTATATTTCCTTCATTTTGAAGGCATAGTTTCAAATGAAATAATACAGCTGATTTTGGAAGGATACACACAAAGCTATATTAAGAGATTCTGTTTGGGGAATGATATTGAGGAAGCAGGGCTTTGTACCCTTTTCTACACTTCTTGATCTGATTTAATTTTGTTAAAGTGATCATATATTACTTTTTTTCATTTCGAAAGGTTCAAAAATATTCTAAACAATTCAACAACTGAGTAATGTTCAATAGTCTTACTCTATGCCCACAGCACTGACTACTACAGGGTAAGAAGAGTATAGTTAAGAGGACTTAGGGCTCCAGAGAGAACAATTTCTGGTTAAGTTTGAAAGTATATACTCTAAATATACAAGGAGCTAATCCTGCTTGGGTGGGATTAAGTTTTTGCTCACCTTTTAAGGTGCTCCAGTGGATTTCTGTATTTGTTCCTTTAAGATCAGAATACTCTGCCTTTGCTCAGGAGGAAGCATGGCAATCTGGTCTGCAGTAAGTTGAAGAACTTGCATAATTAAAGCAGCCTGTGTAGAGGAAAGAAGGTAGTGAGTTTCAGTCATGGCAACTAAAAAACAACAACAAAAAATCATCAGCTTCTGTCCAAAAAGCTACTGTCGTGGAATATGAAGCAAATGGAAAAAGGGAGGGTCTTTAACACACAGAAAACAAACAGTAGGCCAAAAAGGAAAAAAAAAATCAGTGAAAAAAGGCACAATGAAAAGAACAAGTACAAATTAAAATACCTAAGATTAGATAATTCAAAAGAGACACCTTCATGAACTCAAAGTTGCTGCATGCTAAGATGGTATCTATGAGCCCTGGGAATTCTTCAGTTTTTGATTCTGTTTTGAAAGTCTCTCCAATTCAAATGTTTTAGCTTTTCCATTAGATATGAACTTTCCACAATGACCAAATATAAAAAACAAAAAGATACACTTGTGGGGAATCTGCTATTGATTTTAAGGATGAAGTAGAAAGGGGAGGAAGAACAGGGTTTGGATTTCCAGTTCAATGTGGCCTACACACACACACACATACATGCGCACACATGCACAATCTGTTATTGGTAGATGAGTCTGAAATGTAAGATAAGCTGCCATTTATATACACTTAAAAACTTTAGAACCAGGTCCACAAATTTTCAGTCAGTAAGTCATAAAAGAGTTCTAAGTTAGGGTAAACATCACTTCCAAAGGGACTTTGAAGACCCAGGATCACCACACGGTAACTGTGAAAAGAGGAATCAAAAAGACTAGATTTGTGCATAAGGAGAAGTCAGACTGTGTTGCTTACCTTCTCATGATCCTGTGGTGTGACCTGGTTCTGCCCAGGACTAAAGCCACCAGGCTGGGTTCCACCTTGCATGCTTGCTCCTTGCATGACTGGGACCTATGTGCACAGAGAGAGAGAGAGAAGAGATTTATTTTTAGAATTCCTGCCATATAGGGAACCCAAATACAGAAATGGCAGTGTGAAAAATTAGGATATTTCTACTGATAGGAATAAAAACAAGCAAATGACTCTGAATCAGTTTCTACTACTAACAATGGTAGAAGGCAGGGTTTAGCCAGAAATCAACTAGCAAGTTACACATACTTACTTACAATAGCTCTAGCATCATCAATAAATATCACAGAGCACAACTGGATACCATCACACTAAGCAAAATTTAGCCAAATAAGCAGGGGAAAAACTGTTAGCATTCTGCAAACTAGTGCTCAGTGGAAACAAATGAAAGCCAACAGAACCTAGAGATAATGTGTGCTGGTCCACTGGGGAAACTACATTCACAGGGCTACTGCCTACCTCTGGTTCAATCAGACATAGGTAGTTCGTCCCAAAGGGCCCTATCCCACAAGTAAGGGAAAGACAAACATGCCAGAGAGGCACAAAGGAGATGGAGAGGTCTCTGGGAGAAAGCCTGCTATTAGACCAACAACTGCTTTTTACAGAGTTCCATAGAGAACATGCTGCATATGCTGTCCTGCTTAACAGAGACCAAGAAATATAACTGACCTGAGTAAAAGAACAAAGTAAAAGATATAGCAAACTTATCGGTATTTACGATCTTCAGTGAGTTCAACCCTTTGGAAGATTATCAGAACCCAGGGAAAAGGCCTCTGAGGACTTAGTGTAACTATCAGATGGGCCCTATACCAGAATTTATGTTCACATTCAGGCATTCACCCAGAGCTTAAGTAGTCTTGTTAAACACAGATTGTTAATAAACTCATTACCTGCTTCCCCAGCATATTAGAAGCAGCAAAACATAAAAGAATATAGATAAACAACTGTTAGGAGCAAATTTATGGCATCAATGCGAAGAGCCAGGTGACAGCCTGACAGTGAAGGAGACCAGAAACCACCCAGGCTTAACTATGTAAAATAATGGGTCTACTTAATGATGACATTGAGTAAACAAATGATTAAAAATAATACTTTATTATACCCTATTTTTATAAAGAAAGCATAAACTATACCTTATAGTTTTTCAATTAAAATAGTTTTAAAATTTAGTGAACAGTTCTGGCATCTGGAACATTCACATACATGCATAACTCGTTTGCCAGATAATGGGTGGAAGAAGCATCAGTACAGGTTTGTATAGACTCTTAAAATATTATCATTGTTCTGGTTTTTATTAATACTGAATCCAGAGACTGTCTGAATGTAAATGATTTCTATAGATCTGAAACATCTATAAGTATAATCTTTCTAAAACTTAGCAATATTTATTAATAATAATTTGAGGTAATTCAATTTGAAGTAACCACTCAATAATGGCCATTTTAAGTTTATAGGGTTACCCGTTTTAGGCAGATAAGTACTAGGCAAGATGACCACACGTCTTCATTTGCCTAAGGCAGTCCCAATTTAAGCTTTCATCTCAGAGTAGTTTACTAACAGTTCTCTCTTTAACTCTCAAACACGCCCTTCTTTGAATGGTAACTTATTTAATCACCCCAGTAACAATAAGACTTTTACCCACAGGTTTCCAACTGGATGGACTGGAATTAATTTTTTGAAATCTGATTTAAAATAACAAATTAAGGACATAGGAGAAAAAAAAAACAAAGTACAAACAGTGAAAAGAAGAAAATAAAAATCTATATTCATATTTTCTGGAAAGCTACTTAAATATTCTAATAAAAGCAATTATCACAAGCAAGAGAGGCACAGGAAAGGGGATAAGGTTCTTAATGTATATCTCTTATAGATAAGTCAATGTATTCCATATATTTATTTATAAGTGAAAATATTTTTTTTTTTAAAGTTTGAAGATGCTTTATAAAAATGTCTCTACCTTGGATCTAAATGGTTTCATTGGCTCTGTTAATACAAACTATATTGAGCTGGGGTATATAGCTTAGTGGTAGAACACTGCCTTGTGTATACAAAGCCCTATGTTTGATACCTAGCATTACAAAACATAACAAAAATAAAAACAAAACAAAAAAAAACTAGTATTCCAGAATAATGAGTTGAAGCACTAGTGGAAAAGAAAAAGATGTTACTCAGAAATGGTCTTTCAACCTGTTTTTTTCAATATCTTTATAGAATTATCAGCAGAACTACATAAATAAGTACATTATGTAGTTAATTTGTTGACTGTCTCCCTAGCTAGTACATAAGCTCTATGGGGTAGGGACTTTGTTGTTCACACTGCTATATCCTTAGTACCTAACTTTCATACACAGTAGGTGCTCAACAGATAATAATTGAATGAATTATAAAAATAATTCTATTATGAGGCTACTGACCATAGAGTGAACAATAAAAATCAAGGCCCATTTAAAAGTAAAACTTGAAAAGCAATAGAATACTTTTATTCTCCACAGATTAGGAAGACAAATTTTATTTCAAATTAAAGAAGTGTAGATAAGATAGCCTCACATATACAGATATACCAATGTGCAGATAACAGAACACAGTAATGGAGTGGAAAAAACAGTGGGCTCAGCTGGGCACAGTGGTGCACGCCTATAACCCCAGGGGCTCGGGAGGCTGAGGCAGGAGGATTGAGAGTTCAAACCCAGCCTCAGCAAAAGTGAGGCGCTAAATAACTCAGTGAGACCCTGTCCCTAAATAAAATACAAAATAGGGCAGGGGATGTGGCTCAGTGGTAGAGTGCCCCTGAGTTCAATCCCTGATACCAAAAAACAAAAACAAAACCAAAAACCAAAAAACCAAAAAACAACAACAACAGCAAAAAACCCCAGTAGGCTCTATTCCTTACCATTTTTTAGTTATGTGAATTTGTAAAGTCACCTGAATTTCTGGGTCTCAGTTTTCAAACCTATAAAATGAGAGAACTACATGAAGTTGTGTTTATTCTAGCGCTAATATTTTCCTTCTTTTTCTCTCACACACAGACATGGAGGAAGACATTTAAACATATGAAAGAGGAAAGAGAGAAAAGAAAGAAGAAAAAGAAAGGTACAGGTGCTATAGGCAAATAGCATATAAAAACTCAGGGAAGATACACATATACCACTTGCCCACAATCAAATGTGAATGAAAAGGGAGGAAAGAGATAACTGTGAAGTACCATACACACACCTGGAGAGAGTCAAATAAAGAAGAAAGAGACAGATTTCAGTTCTACAGATTTTAAGGTGATCATTAGTGAATTGCCTTTGCTACTGCATTGCCCATTTATTTGGGCTATGTGATGACAATAATTAACACAGGTTTCTGCAAACTGAAGATAAGTAAATCACCACTGCTCTTCGTATGCTTTAACCCAGTGGTTCTTGGTCAGGGTTGCATTTCAGAATTTGGGGAAGGTTTTTCAAGTCATCCAAGGCCCAGATCCTACTAGTAGACATGCTGAGAGTTAGACCTGGGCTGAGATTCAGGCAAGCATATTTTGGAAAAAGCCTTATATATGATGTTGGTTTTCACCCCTAATGAAGTGTTCTCTGACTCCTAAATTTTCAGGGTCTCTGCTATAAATGAAATAGTTATTGAAATGGTAGGACAAGGTTGTTCTTTTGGATTACAATTCTAGTGACCAGAAAAATCACTTGCCTAACAGACAAAATAAAGGGAGATCCTAGTTTTCCCTTTCTAACAAGCTAAGGAAAAGTTCAAGCCAGAAGGCAATAATAATCAGGCTCAATAACCAATTCTGAATAGATCAAGATTTCACACAGATGCTAGAAGTATTATGCATACCTGTCTGGATCCCTGGGGGCCAACCCCTCCCATGTTCATTGGATTAGGACCCTGGATTCCACTAGGCATAGGTCCTCTAGGGCCAGGCACTGGGCCCCTAGTATCCATGCCCCTGGCCTCCATTCCCCGGACTTCCATGGCACGGGCCTCCATGGCGCGGGCCTCCATGGCACGGGCCTCCATGGCACGAGCTTCCATGGCACGGGCCTCCAATCCTCTAGCATCTAATCCTCTTGCTTCCAATGCTCGGGCCTCCATCCCTCGTGCATCTATTCCTCGGGGGTCTCTTCCACCTACAAAGTTGTAAGAAAATCAATGTGCAGTTATTCACCTGTATTGTAAAAACTATTCAAGAAAAGATAGAAATCTATTCCCCTACTCATGTCTCCCCTTAACTGAGACTGCTGTCTCCCTCTAGTTTCTCAGATTTGCTGGTAAGCCTTAAAGATGCTTGCCAACCCTATTGCCCCAGCAATCTTTACCCCAGATTAGAGACAGAGACAGCTGAGTTCTTTATCAATCCATGACCAACAGTTGGCTTTGTGATGTTATCTCCCCTTACCTCTGCCATCCAAGGGTGGACCCCTCTGATCTAGCATGGGTCCTCTTGGCTCTGCCATTAGAGGTCTGGGCTCAGCTAATGGCCCTCCTCTCATCTCATGTGGGGGTGGTCCACGACCTTCATGGCCAGGAACATGGTGCATGGGAGGACCCTGATGAGGAGGTCCCAGGTAACCTCTAGAGATGGAAAGAAATTAATTTCAAAACAAAACATAACAACAACAGTAAAGTGTCAATAGAAGACCAATAAGCAAATATTCAACAAAGAACGGATGCAAACCTTAGTGGATATTCATTATATGCATAACGAATAATGTTAACACAGTGCTTAAGAACACAGGTTCTGAATTCAGACCTACAGTTCAAATCTAGGCTCTATCATTTATGAGCTGTGTCATATCGGGCACATTTACTTTTCTGTTTAATGTTTTATACTTTATTTCTTGCATCAATAGGTTAAGAAAGTAAAATTTTCCCAGGTACTGATTTATAGATACTATTTGTAAGTGGAATCAAAAAGTTCATTTTCACAAACAGTAACACTCAGTGATCTCTTTAAATGCAATTTTAATCCTTATTTTAAGCTAAGGGCAATTTAATACAATAAGCTAAATTCACACAAAACCTGTATACTCTGAACTACAAAAGTGGCTTTTGTAGCTACATATGGTTTTAGTCAACTACACATTTCCACAAGTACTTACAAATATGTTAAAAAAACACTACCCCAAATGCTTATCCTACCATTAGCTCATTAAACATTCCCATTCCTGCTACTGAAAGCAGATAATCAGGAAAATGAGTTCTAAATCTTCAAAATTTGGGGGAAGTTTTTCAAGTCATCAAGGCCAAGGATGTAAGTCCCAAAAGGTTTTAAATCAAAAAAGTCTTTCAACATGGAAGCATCAACATGAAACTTTAAGTTTCTAAAAAAATAAAAATAAAAATACACTCTTTGTAGTTTCAAATATCATCTCCTTAAAAGAAAAACCAGTATGCCTTGTTTTCTTCATCTACAAAATGGGACTAAACATATTCATCTTCTAGGGTTATGTGGATTATTTAATTGCAGGGATGAGAAATGAACCCAGGGCCTTGTGCATGCTAAGCATCTGCTCTACCACTAAGCTACACATCCCCAGCTTGGGTTGTGTGGGCTTAATGAGATGACCTAAGTAAAGTACTCAGAGTAGAGTCATAAGTATGATCCCCATTAATAGCAACTACTATTATTATTGTTATTAATAATATTACTACTACCACCATAAGTTTTCCTTGCTCAGGTATGTGTACTAGAATTTTCAATTTTTGAATATACAATAGTCATGATTAGTTCAAAAAGACATACTCAACTACAGTTCTGCCTGAGGATAGGTGCTTAGTCTTGGACAGTGGCCATGAATATTTATCTTTTGAAGTGGGCAAACAAGTACAACTGTTGTGGAAATAGTTTGTTCTCAAAGCAAGGAGAAATCCTGGCTTCATATTTGTTTTTTTCTATGTCAACACTTACCGAGGCTCTACTTCTCCAGTTACAGAGAGTAAAGTGCCACCCCGTGGGTCATTTGGAGCATCTCCTAACAAACCTCGAGGAGTTGGGACATTGGCAGGCAAGGATCCCCGCTGCATAGCTGCCCTGGGGTCTTGCATCGGCACTGACAGGGAAACAAATGGGAGTTACTGCTGTGAAAGACACATAAGGAAACAAGAAATGACTCTATATACCACTGACAACATAATTCAGACACCTTAGAGTGGGTGAAACCTCACCACAGCAGAATCCTCTTGCAGTTCAAGAACAGAAGCAGGGTGTAGGCAGAATCTGTGCCATGTCAGAGGTATGGATGGAATTATATAAAGAGCAAACTGGGGAGCAACCTGCCAAGGACTAGCACTGCAACCTGAAGAAACTTATGCTCCTGGTTTTCCTTCTAAATCAATCTTAGTTCAAGGACCAGAGTCACAAAAGAGAGGTAGGGTCTTGGCATATGTGAACACTGCCATGGCTCTGCAAGAACCTGCTGTCTCCTTACAGACTGCTATTCCATCCAAGCCTCCTGACACCAGTAGGGAGGGAGTACAGCCTCGGACAGATGCCCATATCATCCATGTTCTCTGCCCTGTGTGAAGAGGTCAATCTTAGGCTTGTGGCCTCAACAGGAAAAAATTAAGAAAAACAAAAACCCAAAAACACTACCCTTTTGGGTTCTGAACGTGAGGATGACTGCGAAGCAGCTCTTTTCCTCTTAACGTCCCACCCTGAACACCACAAGCAAAAGGAAACCCGCAGATACAATGGGTACCTTGAACTCGCTCAATTGATGCAGGCCCGGCGGGTCCCACGGGCGAGTGCTGTAGGGTTCCTACGTGAGCAGTAAGTTCAAAAGGAGAAAGAGCAGACACTTAAAATAGCTTGCGTGCATGCGTGTGCACACACACACACACGCACACACACACAAACATAAAAGCAGACTAAAGATCTACACATGTAAGTTAAAAAGCCAAGAGTTTACTAACTTGCCTTGCCCCAAGCTACAAAATCTTCTTAAACTACACTAGTTCCTCTGGGTATGTTATACAGTACCATTTTGACCAGATAGCTTCCCAAAGGGAAACCCAGGGGTCACTGTTGGTTTTTTTTTTTTTTTTTGAGAGAGAGAGAGAGAGAGAATTTTTTAATATTTATTTTTTTTTTTTAGTTTTCGGCAGACACAACATCTTTGTTTATATGTGGTGCTGAGGATCGAACCCGGACCGCATGCATGCCAGGCGAGCGTGCTACCACTTGAGCCACATCACCAGCCCAGGGTCACTGGGTTTTATTTGGTTAGGAACAACCAGTGATTTTAAATTTTTCCTTCCTCCTACTATTCCCTATTTTCCCCCATTCCTTATGGCACTATTACACACACACACACACACATAAAAAAAAAATAAATAAAAGGGAAAAAAAGAAAGAAAAAAGATTAACGCAGAACAAAACAAAATATAAAAAGGATAGCTTTGAACCTCTAGTTAAGCAACAAAGAACATAAAGAACATAAACAAATTTTCAGAAGTAAAACATGAAAGAATCTGGAAGGCAAGATTTATTCTGGAGAAGCTATAACAGAAGTGGGTAGTACTATTTTTGTCATATCTTCAAGCACAAAAATTTTTGCTATTAAAATATTATCAAATGGGGAAATTGCAGTGCATGAATTTTAGATGAGGAAAGAGAATACCACCCTATATGAAATGATCTGCTACAGCAAGTTTTTGATAATAAACATCATGACAACAGCAAAGGCTAATGAGATGAGAAGAGTACCAACCAACACTAAACAAAGATGGTAGGACAGGAAGAAGTATCATCTCAAATATCTGTTTTTTCCTTTCACCACTACAAATGTGTAGAAGAAGCATGGATTACAAAAAAAAAAAAAAAGTGAGACAATCTGGACACAAATAAGATTCTTGCTTCCTCTGCTGGGCACTGAAGGAAACTATAAAAGAAAGCTCATCTCACTTTGTCTCTTCATGAAGATATCCTTGAAATATCTTTAAAATGAGTCATTTCCTTATGTTAATTTTTTACCAGAAAGATGAAGATAACTGTAACAGGATGGCATGTCATGTGGAAGTATTATTAAACAGCTAAAGTTTGATTGATTGATTAATACCTTGGGGAAAGGTATAAGTTTGACTGAAGCCCTAATCCCTTCTCATTATTGCAAAAATACCTTGGGGTACATACATGCTCTAGACAGTGGTGAGGTGGGAAGACACAATAGCACGAAAGCATGAGATGCTTAGAAAAAAGATTTAACATTTGGTCAGGAGTTCATTTGCTGTTAGACATGGCATCTAATGAAAAAAATTATTAGTTATATCACTTTAACCACCAATCCCAGCAAGCAAACCACTGGTTTGAATCTTACCATTTTGTTTTTTAAAACACCACGTGCTCAGAAGAAAAAAACTTAAGCTTCTCTATGCCGGAACAAAGCAATCTTTACCCATCACAGTGACCCAATGAATAAGAGTAGAATATAGTGAAAAATATTTAAGAGAGGCAGTATAAGATGAAAGAAAAAGGACAGATATTTGAAGTCAGATATTTCTCAATCTTAGCTCTGACACTTATTAATTGGAACAGCAGAAGAGAGTACTAAATCTGGTCCATAATACCTAGACATCAGCATTTACTTAGCTTGTCCTAAGTTTTAAAACTCTGATTTCCATCCCTTCACCTGTAAAACTCAGATGCTGCCACCCAACTCACAAGGATGTTTATGAAAATCAAAGTACCCGAAATATAGTATGCCCTCAGTTCCTTCACTTTTCTAAATCCTCTCTCCTCCTAACCTTTGTTTTCAACTGAGCTGCTGCATCATTTTATTCTTCAAATTCCAGTAACATGGAAAAATAATGTGGATATCAGTGTTCCTGCTGCAGTATAACGGACACTTCTCAAGTAGTCTTTATAGACCTATAACCCCCTTCCAGTTTGCTCTGGGGTTTAAATCTAGTTTTCTACCTACTCAGTCATATATTATGCTTGCTTTTAAAATTCTTTACTAAGTCAACAGACACCCATAGAGGGAGAGAGAACATGTCAGTGGACTCATTAGATTACTAGGAAACTCATTACACTATTAAGAATTGATGATGTTTGTAGAGTTGGGTTCTGACTTACTGGGTAGAAAGTCCAGATTAGCAATGCTCACTATAAGTTTCTATGATAGAAATGTTCTATATCTGCAATGTCCCGTGCAATATCCACTGGCTACATGCGGCTACTGTGTACTTGGAATATGACTAGGGTGATTAAGAAACTGAATTTTAAATTTTACTTAATTTCAATTAACTTAATATTTAAATAGCTACTGGTGATTAGCAGTTGCCATATTCGAGAGTGCAGATATGGAACATTTCTAAGGCCAGTCCATATCAATCAGGCATTAATATTTATTTACCTTGTCCCCGTTCTATGGACACAGGTCCACTTCCTGGCATTCCAACCTGGGCCTGCATTCCTGGTAGAAGAAAAAGGGCAGGATAGGAAAGCATAAATTAGCACAGTGGAAAAAAATTAGAATAGTGGCCGAGTTTACAAATTTTTTCATTCTGCCTTACGAGAAGAAACCTACAAAGGAACAGGAAAACTAACACTCAACAATCCAGCAAGACAGAAGATGGAGTTAGTATACTTCCTGCTTCAGTGACAGAAAGGTGAGTTCAGTTAGAATGCTTCATCTCATTAGTTACCAAAACTGTTGCAAAAAGCTCTTCTGTAATACAGGAAAACAGTGCCACTTACCTATAGACCTCCTCTCATGGGAGGCAGCACACTTCCTGGGGCATTCTGTAAATGTGTGGGTATACTATTTCAGTTGTGACAAAGATTTTTTGGGGGGACACAGTTGGTATTGAGTGAGAAGGGGCCAGGGATACTAGATTTCCTGCAATGTTTGAGATAGTACCACAAAATGGAGAATTACCCTGTGTCTTATAAATCTTTTAAATGTCTCACTGACCATTCACACAAATTAAAAACTGTTTATAGCTACCTGAACCTAGAGCCATAGAAAAAAAAAAATATATATATATATGAATTTTTCAGAAATGAAATTACTGAGTAAGTTATGAGTACGACAATTTATTTTCAGAATTTTATTATAAGTTTTCACTATTTCAGAAAGTTATATTACCAATGTCAATAGTCCTTTTGGCATTCTGAGTTGCCACCCCCCACCCAAAAAAGCAAACCAAAAAACCATGCTTATATCTATCTACATTTTAAGTTTTTACATTCATGGCATAGGTGCAATCATCTGACTACTACATTTTGTTTTCTAGTGTACCTGCCTGAACAGTTGCATGTTAAATTATTATATATTAATGTCCTTTTACTTTTCTTTAATATTATAGAACTTCACAGTTCTACAATCAATGTATAAGTATCGCTTTCTCCACCAAAATTAAGTGTCATCTCTATTTGACATTTGCTAGTCAGCTGGGTTTAAGGGCAATCTCATTGTTAATTTGTAATTTTTTTTTTAAGAGAGACAGACAGAGAAAGAGAGAGAGAGAGAAGAAAGAGAATTTTTAAATATTTATTTATTTTTTTTAGTTTTCAGCAGACACAACATCTTTGTTTGTATGTGGTGCTGAGGATTGAACCTGGGCTGCACGCATGCCAGGCGAGTGTGCTACTGCTTGAGCCACATCCCCAGCCCCTAATTTGTAATCTTTTAACTATAAATAAATCTGTTTTCTTGTTGGCCATTTGTACTTCTTTTCTATGCATTTTTTTTTCCTACACATTTACTTTGTCTACTTTTCTACTAGGTTGTAGGTTGTTTTCCCACTTCTCATCAATTACCAAAGAGCTCTGTATAGGGTATCTCAAAAATCTTCACAAAGTTTTAATAAGTTCAAAATTATAAAGGCTACAAATTCATAAAAAACACAATGTGAAATTTTAATTATTTAACATTTACATTCAACTTTTATCTTTATTAATCTCTTCTTGGTATCTTTTTAAAAAAATTCCTAACTAGTACTTAGAATCTCTGTATTTTTTAATAATATAGGCATTTAAGGATATTAATTTTCCTTTAAGCACTGTGTTTACAATTTCTGTGCTTATATTATATGAAGTATATATAGATAACTTTGTTTTCCTTTAGATGATTTATAAATTTCTTTTTATTTTTTCTTTAATTCAGGAACAGTATGTTCCTTAATTTGTAAGTTAAGATTTTCCTCAGTAACCTTTTAATTATTTGTTTCTAATTTTATTAACTTATAATTAGAGAATGTGGTCTATAAATTCTCCACTTCAAATTTGTTAAGGTCTTTCTTCGTGGCTAAATACCTGCTCTTTTAAAAAACAAAACAAACAAAAGCATTCTTCAAGGTGGGTGTGGTGTCACATGCCTGTACTCCCAGTTGCCTGGGAGGCTGAGGCAGGAGGAGCACATCCTCACAACTTAGTGGGACCTTACCTCAAACTAAAAAACAAAAAACAAAACAAAACAAAAACAAAAACAAACAAAACCCCACAAAGGGCAGCGGGTGAAGCACTCCTGGATTCAATCCCAAGCACCACAATAAATAAATAAATTTTTAAAAAGAATAAAAAAATGATTTTATGGTCATTTGGAGTAGGAAGTGTATTTTTGTAGTTAAAAGAAATAAGTCTCCCTCTATGTATTAAGAAAAGCTTATTATTTAATTTCTCAATAAGCATTATATATAGTCTAATAGAACAATGCTACTCTAAGTGTGGTCCACAAATGGTGCTGATCTATAACACAATGGTAAACCCTTCATGATAAGGTTAACTACAGAAACAAAGAGCAGACATTTAGAAATTTCTAGAGCCATCTGACATTGCTGTGATAACCCAAGAGTGTGATCAATTTACCTGTCTCACTAAACAAAGTATAGATTAGTCTAAGTGTTGTCCAACTCTTAGTAATGAGATTATTTCTTAGATTGCAAACTTTTTATGTGCAGTAGCACCACATTCCTAAATTTTGGTGATATTTTAAGGTAAGTTAGATACCTATAACTAAAAGATGTGTAAGATACAGATCCCATTACTTTCACAGAAATAAAATCTAACTACAACTGCATTAGGATACAGTGGATAAATAAAAAATTTTGAGTTTGCTAAAACTTCTTTAAAAATCTTTTCCCATTCCTTGTCAACTCAGTTCTTAGAAGAACTTAGATTTAAATAGCTCTAGGAATACTATTGCAGTCAATCAATCCCAGATTAGATAACAAATTTACTTGCCTAAAAAACTTTACTGAGGGCTGGGGTTATGGCTCAGTGGTACAGCACTTGCATAGCACATGTGAGGCACTGGATTCGATCCTCAGTACCACATAAAAATAAATAAAGCAACGGTATTATGTCTATTTACAACAAAAAAAATAATAAAAAACTTTACTGATGAAACATTATGTGTTCATATATTTCCATGTGGGGAATCACTATTTCATTCAATGTCTTTAGTTGCAATTGTTAAATAATGAAGTTACAAGTGTAATAGCCATACTCTATCAACTGCCAATCTTTGTGCTTCATTGAATGAGTCATTTCAAGACTTCTTTCTTTTCCAGTATTGAGGATCAAACCCAGGGCATCACACACACTAGGCAAGTGCTCTACCACTGAACTACCTTTCCAGCCCTTATATTTTCTTTCTTCTTTTTGTTATTTGGTTTGAATATATTTTATGCCTGTTTTCTTTATGAGTTGAACCTAATCTAAAAGTTTTTGGGCTTTAATGAGAGAATTCAGTCCATTTGTATTTGACAGAATAAAGACCATACTACTACACTACTTTTTATTCCTTCCATCTTATTCTACATTCATTATTTACTTTACATTGTCTTTCCTTTTCTCTATTTTCGCTACCTTGAATTTGTTTCCATTCATTCCATTTTCTCCTCCTTACTTTGGATGTTTTAGTGTACTTTCTACTTTTGTAGCCCCTTCCCTACTCTCATAGTCAAATATAGAATTTGTATATAAGAAATCCCCTAAGGCTGGATGTGCAGCTTAGAGGTAGAGAGCTTGCCTAGGCATGTGCGAGACTCTGGGTTCAAACCCCAGTGTGTGTGTGTGTGTGGGGGGGGGGTTGTGGGGTGTGTGTGTGTTATCATGATTCTGTTATCAAATAATTGGCTATATTGCAGCACTTAGTAAGACAAAACTTTTTTATAAAAGTATTTATTTTTTTAGGTGTAGTTGGACATAATACCTTTATTTTATTTATTTATTTATTTTTTTTATGTGGTGCTGAGGATTGAACCCAGGGCCTCACACGTGCTAGGCAAGCGCTCTACCACTGAACTACTACCCCAGCCCCAGTAAGACAAAACTTTATCAAGGTAACAAGATGGTGAAGTCTAGAGACTTACCTCCAGGAGCTAAGGAACCAGGGCCAGGTCCTGTTACAGCAGTTGGCATCTGTCCTGGTGCTGGAACTCCACCTTGCATAGAAGCTTGCATCAGAGGAGGTGCACCATTGACATGCATTCCACCCTGAACAAGAGAGAAATCAAAGTAGGTACATGCCTCTATGGAGATTCAAGACTTTTAGTCTACAATCTTAGAGACCTCTTCAAATTGGTGGCCTAAATAGTCTATCAAACATCCTTTTTGTATAGCATGTCTTGTGTGATATTATATTTTTTGTACACTTTCAATTCCATAGAAGCAAGTTATGATATGTGCCATGAGTTTTGTTATGTGAATACAGTTAAAATGGAACATACCCTCGATGTAGAGATTGACAAGTTATCTGTGTGGCAAGGCAGCATATAGCAACTATTCTTGATTTCATCACTGGGGCCTACCAGTAAGAGTTACAATAAAAAAGTGTCTTGAACCCATGAAGACAAAGAAGGGGCTGGGACTTTTTAAAAAAGCAACTACTGGTAGTCCACATTTTAAAAGTGAAAATAGGCCTGGGGCTATAGCTCAGTGGTAGAGCGCTTGCCTAGCACATGGGAAGCACTGGGCTTGATCCTCAGCACCACATAAAAATAAATAAATAAATAAAATAAAGGTATCATGTCAATCTACAGCTAAAAATATTTTTTAAAAAGTGAAAATAATTTTCATTTGACCAAGTTTACTCTTGTCCTTAAACAAAATTCTTGTTTGGGGGCAGGGGGAAGAATATGAATTTTTCACCATGAATTCCCTAGAGAACTGAGTCCTCCTTTGAAACAGAAAGAACTCAGTAAGAATAAAAGTGAAGTTATAAAAAACAAAATCACATACGCAATTAGAAAACAAAAGTCTAAAACAGAAGATAGGAAACCATATAGGGAAGTAGTTAGGAGAAAACAGGCTACGAGGTCAGAAAGGACCAAGTACAGAACCTGCATTCGCCACACACAATTCTATTTTTTGACCATTTAACCTCTCTGAGTCTTAGTTCGTTTCCTTCCCATCTCTGAAAATATATTTATTTATTTAGAGAAGGGGATGGTCAACTATGACTCATGGGCCAAATCTGGCTAACTGATTTTATAAATAAAGTCTAACTGAAACACAACAACATACACTTGTTTACATACTGTCTTTGGCTGATTTCACACTATTATGGTAGTTGTGACAGAAAGTCTATGGCCTATAAAGTCAGACATGTTTGCTATCTAGTCATTTACATTAATTCTTTGCCATCCCCTGCACTGTAACTTTGAAGGACACATCTAGGTTGTTTATCTCTGTCAATCTGATAGGTGAAAAATAGTACCTTCCTGTAGTTTCTATTTACATTTACCTTATTTTTAGATTAGACACTTTTAAGTATTTAGATTTCCGTTTTGTGAACTGTTTATGTCCACTGCCCATTTTCTTACTGAATTATTTGCAATTTTCTCACTAACTCATGAGTCCTTTTTGGTTTATTATAAAAATTATAACTATAACCACTCATCTTAGGAAATAAATTATATATACTAAGAAAATCTATATGATCTTCCCCAAATATACCCAAGATCCCCATCTCATTAGATAATCACTTTCTCATAGATTTTTAAAAATTTTATATGAATCATTATATTCTGAATATGTTCTTTGAATCTCACTCAATGTATTCTTGGGATTTATGCAGACACATATATCCCACATGTTGGAAATGTTTCCACATTCCACATTAACTTAGTTTCACTTTTATACTCTTAAGTTTTTGAGTTATCTATGTTAATACCATATGTTCTAGTTAAATTTTTTTTGTAACAGGGATTGAACCCAGGGGCTCTTAACCACTGAGCCACATCCCCAGGCATTTTTTGTATTTTATTTAGAGATAGGGTCTTGCCGAAGTGCTTAGTGCCTTGCTAAGTTGCTGAGGCTGGCTTTGATTGGCAATCCTCCTGCCTCAGCCTCCCGAGCCACTGGGATTATAGGTGTACATCACCGTGCCCAGCTCTAATTCATCTTAATGCCACATGGATTTAAGTTCTTGAAAGTCATTCATAATATGTAGTTTAACTGCTTAAAGTATTCCATGGGATAAATATACCACATATTTTTCATTCTTCCAGAGATGTACATTTAGGATATTACCAATTTTCACTAGTATAATGTGGCAATGAACATTTTTGAACACAACTATGGACTTTAATCAAGTAATCTGCCTCTTGTCCATTATGTTTGGCAAATTCTTCCTCTATTTTGTCATTTGTATTTGATATTTACTTCTCTCCCTCTATACAGAATTTTTTCAGTTTTTAAACATTATCAATTTCGTATGGGTTCAGGGTTTTGTATCATGGTTAGAAAGTTTTACTTTTTTCATCAGTAAAAAGAGATATTTAAATATGAATGCCTACCTTATGCAACTGTTATGAGGACTAATTGAGATAATGCATATGGAACAACAAAGTGCCAACCACAAAGCCAGGCATGCATATACACATTTCTTGTAAATTAGCTTATAAGAAAAGGGCATACAGGAAAAATCACTTTGTTTTACAAACTTGGAACCAAATCTATATTCAGTCAGATGCCATGTGCTTCTGCAACCTGGAAACTGCTTTTATGTCTGGAAGTTAAAATTATCATCTCTGGTTTCTGACCATTCTTCTTTCAATATATTCTCCTAAAAAAAATGAGATTCTAAGACAGATAAAATAAAGGGACAGGGACAAAGCCCTACCAAAGTCTGGGCCTGAGGGGCCTGAGGATTCTGCTGGTTCATTGACACATTGGATCCTGAGCCAGGACCAGCACCATGGACTGGCTGAGGGTTGCCTGTAATCAGCGTTGGGATATTTGTCTGGCGATGTAGAATTTTCTAAAAATGAAAAGACAAACCTATGAGCTGTCTGTTTAATAAAGCAATCAGGCAGTCCCTACCCCACTCAAGGTTTATCATGCCATTGATTTTTCTTTCTTTTTTTCTTTTTGGTACCAGGGATTGAACCCAGGGCTGCTTAAGCACTGAGCCACATCCCCAGCCTTCTTTCTTTCTTTTGCAGTGCTGGGGATCAAATCCAGGGCCTCATGCATGCTAAACTCACCCTCTACCACTAAGCTACATTCCCCAGACCCACCCTACCCATTTCTATAAAAGAATCAGAAGCACTCACCAAGGCAATCTCTGGGTCCACAATTCTCATCACTACCTGTGCTTGCAGCAAAGCATAAGCCAGCTGTGGGTTCTGAAGCAACATGTTCCGTGCTTCCTGGGGACTATTCTGAACACAGAGCTGAGAAGATAAGCAGATTCATTATCAAGTTCAATACTTAATTACTTAGAAATCGATGGTGATTTAGAGCTTATGTATTACATCTGACAAATGTAATACTCAAGGGGCTCTTTAAGTTATCATTCATTTTTACATGGCACACAAAAATCTTAGCAATGGCAGGAAGAGGCATTTCAAATTCCATAATACTATAATTTAGGATAAAGCTGTATTTTTAATATCTATATCTGATATCTACAGGGGCTACAAAAAACAAGCTGGATTGTTTGAGTAGGTATTTTTTTTTGTATAAATAGAAAGCTCTCTGTACAAAATGTAAAGTATATTGTTCACGCATGGCATATTGAAGATGCATAAAATTGTATCTACATACAAATTCTATTTGAGCTCCGAAACTATTTCCATTAAATTTCGATTAACTCCTTAAAAATCTGAGGTGAATTGCTTTATTCATAACCTAATGTTTCTTCCCACCTTCATTTGTTTCATCAGCTCAAACATCTGCTCTGGTGGAAGACTGGCAACTGCTTTGCTGATAGACTCAGGGGCATCCTCAGGACTAATGGTCTCTCCATAAGGTGATTCAATGACAGGGGCACCAGTGCCAAGGCCTGATCAGGAAGAAAATACAAGAAAGTTAGGGGAAAAACAGCTAAATCATTTTAAGTATCTATTTTTATTTTCCATGGTTGCTATAAGAACCAATAGATAAATTCTCTGGAGCTGAGAAATAAATGATTTAAAAATCTCTTATATATTCTCTATGTTCTCAGAGGACAGAAAGCTGGGACCATGATCACTTAGATGGTCAATGTTAAGGAATCAGGCATACTGACCTCTTTCAAAAGAAAAAAAAGGTTTAAAGAGATAAAAAAGCAAAAAAAAAAAAAAAAAAAAAAGCCTTAGTACCCCTACCAGTCACAGATCTGACAACATGGTCACAGAAGTAATGACACAGCACAATTATTATCTTGGTGGACCTGAATTCATCTTTAACTGGAAATTAACAGAAGGATTTCTAAAGTCAACTTTACCTTGTTTCTCAAAGATATGTACTTTCCTAATTCAAGTACCTCAGGCTGGTCAAACAAAGCTGTGTGGCTAACCATTTTAGCATATTCTAAAACATCATAAGTGGAAAAAATTTCATTGCTACGTATGTATTAATTCATAATGCATGGGATTATACTCACTCTTCAGCTCTTCTTTGTTCTTTTCACTGGCAGCATTGTCCACTCGAAGTGCTCTCCCACTGAATTCACGCCCATTCAGGTTCCGCATGGCACTAAGTGCCGTCTCTTGGTCTTGGTATTCACAGAAGCCATAACCCTTTGGTTTTCCTGTCTCTCTATCATATACCAATCTGGAGAGCAAAACCAAGTATCAGGCACAAATGCTACAGACATACAGGGTTCTTGCTAATACTGCCATGCTTTAATTTGGCCCTTTGTAAGATAAACAGCTTTATAACAGACTGCATCATTGAAGTATATTTAAAACAGTTGAAATAAAAAGAAAATCCATATCTTTCAGGTAAGAATGAATGTGGATTATATGGTACCTAAATTATGTCTCAATAAAGTTGCTAACAAAAATAAAATGCATGTGAAAATTACCAGTAAAAAGAAAAAAAAAACCTTGCCATTATTACTAAAGGCCAAATTTGTGGTGGTTTATAAGACTCTCTCACCAAGAAGAAGAGGATCTCACCTGAAACTAACAACAGGTCCAACCTCAGAAAAGATGTCCTTCAATTGCTCTTCAGTAGCTTCATAAGGAATGTTACCCACTAAGGAACAGATAGCATATTAAAATTCTGAGTTTGTAGCCTAGATATTTAATGAGAAAGTAAACAGTAGAGTTTCTACTTTCACTGAATATAAAACAACTGGCTCAAAATAGTGTTCTCCAAAAATGCACTTCCATGTGTTTCTTCAGACCTCTTAACAAGGGAAATAAACCACTGAAACTAAATACAAAAAGTGTAGATACTCCCAAGGAGTTCTCCAACAGATATAACAGTGTTAGATATTCCTTAACTTTGACAAAAATAAATACTTAAGGACTGGTATGTACCTGACGGTCTTCAACTTTTACCAGTGACTACTAAAAACACATTATGTTAAAACAGGTATGTAATGTCCATATTTCTACATGTACACACACTTACAGGAGAATAACCATGAATAGAGTGGAGGAAATTATTCTGAACTGTTTTGTCATGCACTTTTCTAAAGGTGCTTTAAAATCACCAAACGTATTAAAAAAATTTGTAATTGTAGATGGACAGAATGCCTTTATTTTATTTGTTTATTTTTATGTGGTGCTGAGGATTGAACCCAGTACTTCACACATGCTAGGCAAGCACTCTACCATTGAGTCACAGCACCAGCCCACCACAAGTATTTTTTAAAATTAACTTATTCCAGCAGAAAATATTACTCAGAATAGTTTTAATCCTCTTTAAGATTCCTCGGACAAAGTCTTAATCATTCATTCATTCATTTGCAATCCACCTCAAGATGCCAGGTGGCCGTTAGAACTATGGATGAACTAAAATGTTATGGATAAAAAGCAAAGGATTTAAGTCCTTATTAAAGGGCGGGAAGTGGGCTCAGGAATCTATACTCTCCGCATATACTCTAGTTTCTGGTATCTCCATCCTAGAATACAGAACACCGAGGCGCTTTTGCCATGTGCCTGCTTCTAAAAAATAATTGATAATGAAAAAGGAAAAACATAGAAGATGAAGGCTAGTCTAACTCCCTCAATGATATTGTGGAAAATCTACAAGACCGTAAAGAAAAGGTGCTTCTTTTTGCTCACGGGTCCATTAGATTGACCCCCCACTGGATAGGCAGAGAGCCCTGCAAGCCCGACCCAACGCCGGCTTTCGTGGCGATCCAGGAGGTGGGAGGTGCAGGGTTCTTTGCTGCTCCCCTGCCTCTTTCTGTCCCTCCCAGATGCTTGGTTCCACCGAATTCCTCTCACCGAATACAGAACGTAGAGAACGATCCACCGCAGGATCTCTCACAGTCAAACCCGCCATCGCTCTCTTCCGGTGGCTTCCGGTGCGCCTAAACACACTTCCGTACAGCGCGTGAGCCGAGCGCCGACCACGCTTCCATACCACGCGTGAACCGGAAGCGCCTGAAAGAAGCGGACGCAGAGCCACGCCCCTGACGTCATTTTGTCAGCCTCAGGCTGGCGTAATTGCTCGAAAGGACTAACCTTCTGTAGGGCTTGTCTGCGTCCTGTGATTAACTACGTTCCAAACGGAATTTGGGCGGGTCTAGGCGAATTTGAAGGCTTTCAGTCTGCAGAATTTTGTTATTATTCGTTTTTTGTTTGGCTGACGCAAGTATTAGTCGGCCATAATAAATAGAGAGGCAGCAGCTTTGCCTTGGTAACAGAGAAGTCATTTTTATCCTTGACACTTTCATTTTGGTTTCGTCCTATTGGTGGAGGGTAATGCTCGGTCTGCCCAGAGGCGTGTACCCTAGAGGCGCTCGTCCTATTATTTTGCAGAAGTTGTGACTGCGAAGTGAGATGAACATTGCGCCAGCCAAGAGAATTTTGAGAATGAGCGTGGCACAAATGTCTTTGCGCCAACATTAGTGAGGAGATGGGGATGCTAAGAGAGAACAGACCCCTGTATTTCTCATGTGGCCTGTGGGTTCCTGGGGTTTATAGTGGTGGAGCGCTGCAGGAGACCACATTAGAAGGCAGGGTTTGGAAATAGAACAGAAAACATCATTGACTGGTGTTATCACACTCTGGTGCCCATCCATATTTTTTGGATATGTTGTACTGCTGTAGTTACCAATCTGGGTAAAAACAGACCCTGCCGGGGTTGGAGGAAATCCAGAGTAGAATATCTAATGAGAACCGGGTTAGATAGAGGAGGAAAAAAGAGTTTAGAGAGTTATATTTTGCTCTCCGAAAAGAGAAAGCCAGAGATAGTAAAATAGGTACGGAATTTGAGGCACTGACGTTTTTATCGCACACGTATTAAAAGAGTGTATATAAACTCTTGCTTCAAATGTGAGAAATATTTTGAAAAACCTAAGTGCTGCTTTACACCATGGAGCATAAGCATATCATTTCAAGGAGTAATTCTTGTAAAGAAAGTTTTGGAAGAGGACTCCCATTTTCATGACTTGGGTACCATTTACAATTGCTGTGGGACCTAGAGAACATCTGGTATAACAGAATTGTCCAGTATGAGATTTACATTCTATAAAAGGCATGACTTCAAAGAGTTTTGGTGTGAGTCACTGTTCCAGTGTGTGTGTGTGTGTATGTGTGTGTGTGTGTGTGTGTGTGTGTGTGTGTGTGTTTTGCTAAATGTATGTATGGCTAAGTATATTTCTAACTTAGTATTTTCTAAGCTTGGATGAACAGAAGGTTCACCTGAGGTGTTTAAGTAAAATTAGAGATTTCTGCGTGGTTCCAACTGAGTTTTGTGGAATGATTCCAGGCAAGAAACTTGGGAGTCCTTGTTTTAAATAGGTGCCCCTGGTGATTCTTAGAGTCAAGCAATTTGGTAGCATTGCAATTACTGAGATAGCTTTGTGGTAAAATTTAGGACAACTACATTTTTTATGGTAAAATTTAGGACAACCATAGTTATTTTTTAGTTATAGGTGGACACAATATCTTTATTTTATTTTATATGGTGCTGAGGATTGAACCCAGTGCTTCACACATGCTAGGCTAGTGCTCTACCTCTGAGCCAAAACCCCAGCCCAGGACAACCACATTTAAGGAAACTTCCCTTACAGCAATTCTTAATGTTCTCAGTCCAGATCTATCCCTTGTTTGGAAGGGTGTTTTGGGTTGTTGCAATGAATTGATGAGCACTCTTACTGGGAACTCTTCTCCAGAGATGGTAAGTGGACTGGAAGATCCAGGGCAGATCCTACTTAATGAGCCTCTTAACCCCATCAAATGCAAATAATGTTTTCTCCCCTTGAAAAACACTGTTAATATCAAGCCATACTAGATAAAATGGACCTTGGATCTGAAGGCCTTCTTGCTTTGCCAGCTTTTGCATGGAAAAATCTGTATTTTAACCAGCTTACAACTGATCCCAATTAAAAAAAAAATACTGAGCATTTGTCCTATCCTCATTGTATGAGATTTTTTTTTTTGGTACTGGGATTGAACTCAGGGGCACTCAACTACTGAGCCACATCCTCAGCCCTTTTTTGTACTTTTATTTGGAGAAAGGGTCTCACTGAGTTGCTTAGTGCCACGCTGTTGCTGAGGCTGGCTTTGAACTTACAATCCTCCTGCCTCAGCTTGTC